GACCCACAGGGTTATCCTCTGACCTCCACGTGAACACTGGTGAGCATGCGCGTGTGTGCACTCAACACAATTTAATTAAAACAAACTAAAGAAACCTGTGTTCATGTTCATCAAATTTGCGATTTAGAAAATAAAAATACCCCTGAGGCTTTATTGGTTTTCTCAGAGAGTATCCTCTACTTTTGGCAGTTGACTTTCTGTTATTTTGCTTAATCTTTTACTTGTTCTAAAGAGAGAAATTAGCTGGGAGTGGTCTTTCCTGGTAGGTTCTGCCGCTGCGACACTGCCATGATGGCTGGACATTGACATTCCGGCCATTTCTGAGTCACATTTCTTCCAGAAGAGAGCTCCAGGAAACTGATGTTACAAGTGGAAAGGAGTTGAGAGCTAAGGTCATCTGGAGCGTGGACACCATCCCTCCCCCTAAAAGAGACTTCCTTTAAACTTTCAGGGTAGGTGGTCAGGCCTAGCAGCAGGTGCCTTTACTCAGGGAGCCATTTCTTCAGCGCCTTAGATTGCTTTTAAAGGTATATTTAGGATATAAGTAAATATGTTAGCAGTAGATTCTTTTTTCTTATTAAAAAAAAAATACTAACACCCCCAAAAGAAAGCTAGACACACAATAAGGCTTGAGGAGGTGTCTCCATGGAAAGGTCGTTACCAAATATATGGTCTGGTTTAGACTTCAATGTGAAGGCAGTTATTGTTTTTAAGATTGTGTATTGGGGAGAATAAATTGTCAGAGTATAAGAATTGTAAATTGAGAGAGTAAATTGTCAGAGCTGCAAATCCCGAGATGCTTCTGAAAACCACATATATTAGTTTTTCTAAGCTGTATGGATTCAGTGACATTAGGCTCTAGCTTAAAAGATAATTTAGAAGCATTGCAAGTCAGTTCTGAGAACATTTTCAGTCATGTCTGGTGGTGGTCTGATACTCTGGGAGGTTAGGAGAGATTTGTTATTTGACACATTGTCACTGTGTGATATACATACAGATGCTTCCCAGTTGAAGTCATGTATTGTAATATTCACTTGTGTGTTGATTCAGTGACAGATTTTCCACTTGTAATGATATAAAACATGTCAGATTACGTTGATGTACGGTAACAGAGTGTCTGTGTGGAGAGACTTGGTAGTACGTGGTGATGTATGTAGCAGTAGAGTTAGTCCATGATAATTGAAGTTTAGGTATCACTGGCTTATTGATAAACATTACAGATTATTTTAGTTTGGAGTACCATAATTTTTCTTATGGTTTTTAAATAAAACCCCTTTATCTCTTAATAGTATGTGTTATAATCCTGCCTCTCAGAAATCATGTATGTAACAAATGGAAAAATCTTTGGTGTCTGGCATCGAAGTTAATTAAATTGAAAAAATCACTTTAATTGGCAGTCTTGTGTTCGGTTAAAAATAAGTAACTATATATTAATCATTTTTTTTATTGAGGAGGTTTGTAGGACTTTCTGGCAATGATAGAACACTTTTATATAAGTAATGTATGTGTCACTCACTAAATTGGAGTGGAATGAAACACTGTTTATGTCAATGATTTTGTCAAGTGGTTTCAATCAAAATTTGGGAAAATTCTTTCTGTTGGATTATGTATGTTAATAGCTAATGAGAGGGGTAAAAAGTGTACACACACACACACACACACACACACACACACGCACACACACACACACACACGTATATATTCCCTTTTAGAAGCCAAAAAGATAAATCAAAATATGTAGTAGGTACTTTGAAATTAGTTCCAGAAAACATTTTTAGAAATATTAGGCTTGTCTAGCACAACTCTGGGGCTCTTAATCAAATGAACTATTTTTAGAGAAAGGATATATTAAACATTCCATAACTAATATAGTTACTTCCCATGCAAAAACAAATTTGTTCACACCTGTACAAAAATAATAATAGAATAGAGTGTTCTCTTTTCTCCAATTCTATATCACCTTGAGTCCTCACAAACCTCTATTGTTAACAGTTTGAACCCTCATGATTTTAAAAACCATGAACAGTTGTTTTAGGAACTGGGCAAAGGGAGTCCTTTCTTCAAGATGTTTGGAGTGGGGTCTGTGTTCAAATGCTAATCCTCCTACAGAGCAGCAGTGGGGGTTGGAACAATCCGTACATTTTTGGGCTTTGGATTCGTTGACTACAAGGCCCATAAATGGTAGTTCCCCTTCAGGCTTCAATCAGGCCTCTCTTTGTCTCTCTGTCTCTGTATCTCTGTATCTCTGTCTTTCTCTCTTTCTCTGCACCCCGTTTTATCCTAGAAGATCTGGCCTAGGAATACATATAACATGCATACTCCCTCTTGCAAAAAAAAAATGGGATTTTGTATTTTAGTGAGCCACCATACATGCATGCATCACTGAACAATGAACTCTTGTCTGAGGAGAATATTTCCCCACTCTCCCTAAGCACTTCCCTTCAGACTGTAAAAGGTCAACCCATAACAGACGCCCCAGGAATCTTCCTGGAATTTAGATGGGCTCTGCTGGGTTTCACTTTGCACCTATTAATAATTTAGTCCTGGGATAAAAATAAAAACAAAGGCTCTCATCTTACAGTGTGAGAACATGGCTCATGTGTGCTAAGTCATGCAGGTGAGATGCAGAGGGAAGCCCTGTGGAGTAGCCTGTCTGAAGAGGTTTCTCATGTGGGTTGGGGTGACTGCCTCCTGTAGCACTATAGCTCAAGATTAAAGGGAATTAGGGTAATTGCTCTTTAGGAGGAAATGTGTTTTCACTTTTCAATGGGAGCTGTATAAGCTTTAATTATCTAATCTAAACACAGCCGCTTTCTCTGGTGGCCACCATAGGCAACATTCAAACTCCGGTGGCCTGCCTGAGCTTGAGAAAACACTGCTTTATCACCGGCTCTATTACATAACCCACCCAGCAGGGTACAGTACAGTTACATTGTAGCATAGTTACTGCCAAGAACCCTTGAAGCGAGGAGTCGTTTAAATGGATTTTTAAAGTGATTTGAGCTGCAGCTAGACTCAAGCTTCTCACCGTTCTGTCCTCAGCCGTCCTTTTGAAGGCATTTTTATCTTGGGTGGTGTTTCTACTTCAGACTCAGTTCACTTTGCCGGATGTGTGCCTTGGCCGACCTCCTCTGTGTTTGCCAATGGGATTTGGGAATTTGCTCCTGAGGTTAGGTGTGCTTGTGTGGGGGGATGCACACGCATTTGTGTGTATGTGTACATGCATGTGAGGCCAGATGACAACCTCAGGTGTCATACCGCTGCTGCTGCTGTTCTCTCTGGAGACAAGATGGTGCTGGAGCGGGTTAAGACAGGCTGGCTGGCTAGTAAGTCCCAGGGACCTACTTGCCTATCCCTGCCTCCTCAGGACTGGGATTGTAACGCACAGCAGCATACCCGGCTTATTTTTATATTTATTTATTTATTCTGAGGGGTTCTAGGGATTGAACTCAGGTTGTCATGCTTGCAAAGTGAACACTTTAATGACTGAGCCGTCTTCCCAGCTACTAGAGGTCCTGTTTTGTTTTTTTTTTTCCTTTGTCTATTAAATTACTTTTCTTTAGAGAATTCACAAGGGCTACTAGTTTTGAAATCATTAGCAAGTGAAGGCAGGCTATGTATTTCCGGCAGAAAGACCTAGCGTTCAAAGGTGCTTGGAGGGGAGAAAACCCGGGATTGCTTGCCTGCCTTGTAACTGAACGCACAGGATCTTGGTGTTGGGACAGATGAAGGACATAATGCCATTGGTTCTAGGTAGAGAGGCTTTTAGGAATGAAGTTAGATTGAAACTACAGGTGAGAAGGAATAATGCCCTTTCTCCAGAAATCAAATCTTCAATGATGCTCCGAATAAACCTGACACACCCTGTGGCGTTCAGTCCTTGTCCTGTTCTGACCTCCCACCTTGCCTCCCTCCCTGCTCCCTGCTGCCCATCCACACTGAACACAAGCTCTGTCCTAGGCCAACACCTTTGCCCTCTCCTTCCGATGACGGCCGCCCTGCCGCTTGCTGTCTGTCTGCTCTGTCCATGGGCTTTGTCCCAAGTCCCTCACCCTGCTCTTCTCATGCTTCTCCCTATCCCAAAGTCACCAGAACATTCTCAGAGACTCCCCTGACTGTTAATTATCGTCTTTGTGCCACAATAATGTAAATTCTATGAAGGGTGGTACCAGTATTCAACACAGAATCTGATAGGTGCCGTCTAGGCAATATGTTACCAAGTAGAAATTGTTTATGGTTTTAAAGATTCCTTCTTGTTGGTTTATATATTATGAGTTTATCAATATGTCTCTGGCATCAGGAACCAGTGCGTTTCCCAGCATTCATTTTCCTAAGTTTCATTATGATTTCACCAAGCCTGTAGAGAGCCACACCAGCTTTTCTTGGGACAGAAATGTCACTTGACATCCACAGGAAAAGCGCTCACTGTGAGTTCAGTGTCATAATCAGGTGCCGAGTTACTCCCTGGCCGTCTATGAAGGGAAAGGAAGGCACTGTTGGTCTCTGGTAAGGAGACCAATGACAGAGGTACCCCTCGGTGTCTGTTCAGTGGGATTTGTGAACCCTAGCTGGCTTCTTCAAGGACCTGCCCCCATCTCTAAACACCCATCCATTTGTAAGCCCAAGGTGGCTGCTCAGCTTCAAGCTGAACGGGGATGTTGGCAACTTGGTTGGCTGTCCAAAGAGCAGCAGGCCAGGTGTGGAGACACATACCTGTAATCTTAGCATTGGGAATGCAGAGCCGGGAGGTCCACAGTGAGTTTGAGACCAGCTTGGTCTGCCTAGGGAGGACCAGCCACAGAGCTACAGATTGAAACCCCCGTCTCAAAAACAACATAAAACCAAAGAGCAAAAGAACCAAAATAAAAACCTGAAACACGTAAGAGAGCAACAGTTTCCCCGTGACTTATGACTCCAAGTGAAGGAAGCAAAATGCAGATTTGTTGAGTAGTTAGTTTTGTGTAGTGTTCTAAATGTTATTCATTGTTTGTCTGTCATAGGTTATCTACTTAAAGAAGACACCAGAAGAAGCCTACAGAGCGCTCCTGTCTGGCTCAAACCCCCCTTACCTTCCATTCAGGTACAACTGCTGCGGGGACTTGGGCTTCATTTGGCTTGGCCATTCCTTAGAGTAGGGGTACGGGGCCTTGTAACTGTCCTACCACTGTGACCATGATGCTGTCCGACATGAAATGAGATTTCTACCCCCTCTAAATTCTGAAGATAGCTCTTACTTTTTATTTTTAGGCTCCTCTCTGCAACTAGGAAAAAAAAAACATGGTTTTTTCTTTTTAGACATCTCCCCCTACCCTTAAATCTTTTCTATACTTTGACAATGTATTTAAAGTGCAGAGATCCTGATTGATGAGCTAATTAGATTTCAGTAATTACATCACAGGTTTATCCATTCTTTCACCCCATGAACATTGGCTGAGCTCTGTCTGCCTGGTAGGACTACTGATAGATGCTAGGCCCACAAATTACCTCCAGGGACCACAGGCTTCATTTGGGTCAGATCTAAGAGCCTTTGTTTACTATGTTCATTGTCAGGAAAGTTCTCTCTCATTTCAGCGTTGGAAAAGAATATTGTGTTAGTGTGTGTTGGGAGATGGAAAGCGTCCTCAGTCTGCCTCATTGCTGTGTAATGTACAGGAGTGCATTTAACTGCTCTCTTCCAGTCCGAGCTGTAGGTCATTTCGTATCTTTTTCATTGTGGCTTTTTTATTCACATTATCTCAGGTTTGTTTTAAGAAACTAAAAATGCTCTAGAGAGTTTTACTGCGTTATTGTCAGGCATCAAGAAATTATAGTCATCTGCTGAAAGCTACTCATTATATGAAGAGGAATATTTAGGAGTACAGAGGCACTTGTTCCTTGGTTTAGGCCCTTGTGCCTTTCTAGAATTTTGACCTTGTCTGTAACCCAGCTTGTTTTTCTGATAACTCAGAAAGTTATGTTTACACTAAACTCTACCTCTGCGTCCAGCCTCTTTGCACACCATGTGTGTGAAGTAGAAAGCACACAGTGTGGTGCATTCGGAAGTTTAGCGAGGTGTTCAGAATACTGTTGCTCTTCCGGAGTTGGCCTAAAGAAGTTGTTTCCCCCCAAATGCTAGGATGTAAGTTGTTTCTAGTTAGAGACTGCCTGAGGCCAGGGAATGTTATTGCAGACCTCTGAACACCAGTTCTGGTACCTACTGTGGCCTCGGCCTCATTATCGTCTGGGTTATGTCATTCACAAGGTCTTTTACTCCTTTTATTTTATGTTATACTTTTATCTTCATTGTCTAGACGGTTTTCAATTGTTGCTACTATATAACTGCTGTTGGCAGTTATCCATTTAAAGATTTCTTTTTAAAAATTACGTGTGTGTGGGTATGTGCATAGTGTGTGTGCATATGTGCATAGTGTGTGTGGGTATGTGCACAGTGTGTGTGGGTATGTGCACAGTGTGTGTGGGTATGTGCATAGTGTGTGTGGGTATGTGCATAGTGTGTGTGGGTATGTGCACAGTGTGTGTGGGTATGTGCATAGTGTGTGTGGGTATGTGCATAGTGTGTGTGGGTATGTGCATAGTGTGTGTGGGTATGTGCACAGTGTGTGTGGGTGTGTGCACATGAGTGCCAGTGCCAGTGCTAGTGGCGGCCAGGGCATTGGATTCCCTGGGGGCTGGAGATACAGATGGTTGTGAACCATTTGATACGGGAGTTGGAAATCGAACTTAGGTCCTCTCTAGAGCACTCTGCGCTATAAAATGCTGAGCCAGCTTTCCATTCTCCCCCTCCCAGAACCCCCAATTATCCATTTAAATGTACTTTTTTATTGCTTGTATTTTTTCTAAAAAAGACTATTTTGATAGCTTGTGGAAGTTGTGCTTGTCATAGTTGCCTGTGCTCTTCTCTGAAATGTCCGAGTTCCCATACATGTTAGTGATTTTCTACTGCTGTGATAAAACACCATGATAAAGGTGATTTAGAGAAGGAAGGGCTGATTTGGCCTTCCGGTCCCAGAGGGATAGCAGTCCGTGATGGCGGAGTGCAGGCAGCAGACAGCAGGCAGCAGACAATGCAGCTAGAAGAGCAGAGGGCTCACATCTTAAACCTCAGGCACAGGCAGAGACTGCCGAATGGGCCTGGCAAGTGGCTTTTAAACATCAGAGCTCATCCCTAGTGGCATAATTCCTCCAGCTAACTACACCACCTAAAGCTGTCCAAACAGCGCCACCAGCCACGGGCTAAGTATTTCAAATGCCCAAGCCTATAGAGGCTATTTCTCATTCAAACCATCATACTGTATATTCTCACTGTTCCTAATAGAAGAGTTTTATGGCTACTGTGAATTTAAATAATGCTCTTCCTCAAAACTCATTCATTTAGCCAACATTTACTTGAGCAGGCCGTTCTATGAAGCCCTTTATTCCCCCCAGAAGGTTGACAGGCCTCTTGCCTGTAGTTCTCTAGTATATTCTATGCATTACAGTGGTGCACACACCATGAACTCAAACGTCTTATACTTATTTGTTTGAGGGGATGACTTCTCTTGAGAATGGAAATTGACATGTTTTCCTATTTGTGTCCCAAGAGAAAACAATATATTAATGCATTGCTTTTTCCCATGCCAATCACTGTGGGAGTCTTAGGGATCTAAAGACAGTTAGGACTGGTAACCAGCTTTGGAGCAACTCAATATAGCTTATATGAATGAATAGATATAGGAAATAATGCTAATGTCCTATTAGAGTTCCTGTGGGAGGACTGAGGACAAAGATTTGATGGGGGAAAACTGGGGCCCAAGAGCCCAGGGGTTGATTTTTAGGTACTTTTAAATTCATATGTCACAGGTTTTCAAAAATTATGCTATGTTTGGTATCAGTACATTTAATAAATGTATGAGGTTTGTAGTATTTGGTATCATTATTAAAATAAAATAATTGATCTGTTTCTTTTTCTATTTGAAGTCATAGTTCAACTTTATAATTATAGCATTCTGCAAACCTGACTGATATTTCCCTAAAGGGCTGGGGCAGATAGCTCAGTTGTTAAAGTGCTTGCAGTATAAACATGAGGAACGAAGTTTGGTCCCCAGAACCTGCATGAAAAGGCCAGCTCTGGTGGCCTAGATTCACAGTCCTAGCACTAGGGAGGCAGAGGCAGGTGAGTCCCTAGCCAGCTTTGCCTAATCAGTGAGCCCTAACTCAGTGAGAGACCCTGTTTCAACTTAACAAGATGGACAGCCCCTGGAAACGGGTTCAGCATGCACCTTCTTGTGCACACACACACACACACACACACACACACACACACACACACACACGCCCACAGTGAGCTCACACAGGAACACACAGACACGGGAGCTCACACAAAGTCACTGAAAATGAGACAGATTCAGAAGAACGACCTGTGCGTCTTTACCACTTCTTGCTCGACTCAAGTATATTTGACTTTGGTGTTGGTTGGTCATCTCTGGTGCACTGTGCCTCTTCAGAAGTGTCACTGGTTGCTTTACTGTTCAGAATCATTCTTAGGGTGCTCTCCTGAATGTTAAGGTATTTGTGTCGAAAATCGTTCTTTCACTTGTTCTAAGAATGGCCAATGTGTTTATCGAGAGCGAGTGTGGCTGAAAACTAGAGGAAAGGATATTTTAGTTCTTTGAGTCTGTGTGTCCTCAGGGCCGGCTTGGCAGCTGGCCTTTGCGGGAACAAGGGACCTTTAGTTCTAGGGGCAGAGCCAGCGGAGTTTGACTTGGCAAGCCTGGATGAGTCTTGTTGCGGCTTCTCCATTTCAGAATGCCCCAAGCTGAGTCTACGCTCTCGGTCAAGCATTTGATAAAGTCAGATGATTTGCTTCTTGTCTAAAGACTCACAACCCCCCCCGCCCTTAGTGAATTGTTTTTGTGGTTAGCCAATGTTAGTGGTTTTTCAAATCTGCACTTTTAGAGACTTCATAAAATAGCAATTGTGAAAGCTCCAAGTTTACAAAACATGAAATATTGACCAAATTGCATACTCTTCTTTGAGATTTATGCCTGTGTGTGAGCGCGCATGGGTGTGCGTGTGCTTTGTGTGTGTGTGTTCATATTCATATGTGTGCAGGTGCACACAAGTGGAGGTGTCATTCATCAGGTGCCATCCACCATTTCTTTGAGACAGGGTTTCTCACTGGTCCGAAACATATCAAGCAGGCTAAATGTGCTGGCTGATGAGCCCCAGGAATCCACCCGTCTCTGTCTCCCCAGTACTGTGATTATAAGCATATCTGGGAGGCATTGGAGAGGAGAAGCCATAATCAGAATATAGTGTATGAAAAAATTTTCTTTTCAATAACAAAAGAAAGATCATGAATAGAAAAAAATCTTCAAAGTCTCATCCAAACCATTCTAAAACAGCACCACCACTAGCAACCAAAAAACAAATACAAAAACCCCAAGCCTGCATATAGCATTGTATCGGGCGTTTTTAATGTGGGTCCTGATGCTCAGATGCAGGTCTTCATGTCTACAGGTGAGCACTTGACCAGATGAGAGGCTTCCTTGGGTCTTTGGATTTTTTAAAATCAGCTCGATAAGGCTTTTTATTTTATTTTTTATTTTTGTTTATTGGCGATGATTCCTAAATGTGCCAAAGTCTATTTCCAGGAAAGCCAGGGCTACACAGAGAAACCCTGTCTTGAAAAGTCAAACCAACCAACCAACCAACCAACCAACCAACCAACCAAAGAAAGAAAGAAGGAAAGAAAAATTAAGGGAAATAAAATCACTCAGAAAAAATAAGACCCAGGGACTTAGTGTGTTTGTTTGTTTGTTTATTTATTTATTTATTTTGGTTTTTCAAGACAGGGTTTCTCTGTTTAGTCCTTGCTATCCTGGAACTCACTTTGTAGACCAGGCTGGCCTCGAACTCAGAGATCAACCTGCCTCTGCCTCACCGCCTGGCCCAGAGACTTAGTTTTTTTACTTTTTTAAAAATAATTTATTTATTTTTATTTTATGTACATTGGTGTTTTGCTTGCATGTATGTCTGTGTGAGGGGGTCAGGTGCCCTGGAACTAGAGTTACAGACAGTTGTGAGCTGTCATGTGGGTGC